AATAAAAAAAAAAATAAAATTTTTAAGTAGAGCGGAACACTAAGATAACCATCTTGTTGTCCCAGAAAATCACATATCAAATGTGCGTCCTTAAATTTTCAAGGCCGTACACTAATTAAGTTTAAACACTTAAATTTACATAGATGATATAAAAAAAATCCAATTCCGTTTCAAAACCTTCATTTCTGTTTAATTTTTCCTTTTTCTTTTAAACAAAACAAAATTGAAATTGCTTTGTTCTAATATAGCAGGAATTCAAGTGTTTACGGATTCAAAAAGGTTATAAGTTATCCTCTGAAAGAAAATGTTTTTCAACGATCCCTCAAACTGCTGTTGAACGCCATATTTAAATTTTCGTCATGCGATTATGCATTATTTTCTATGACAAAACCGGGTCTGCACTGTGAAATTTAAGGACAAAACCGGGTCGTACACATTGACAAAACCGGGTGCTTCAATTTTGACATGACCCACTTCTTTCATTCCATGCACAGACATGCAAATATTGAGGCGATCATAGTGAAAAGTCTTGAAATCTCCGTGTTAATATCTTTCTTTCCGTACCTTTCTTTCCGTACAATGTGCTCAATTTAAAGAGAAATTAAACAAATTCGAGGCAGGGTTCACTCAATTCACTATTTTGATGTGCTTTTTAACTTATTTCTCCATAAATCTAGAGCGGTGGTAGAAAATATTACATCACACTACCGAAAATAGTTATATATGTATGTATATTCTTCAATATCATTAAAACAACAAATAAATAAACAGAATTTCTACATTTCTCTGTCTGTTGATTGTCCGTCACCGTACCGGACATTAGATACTATTGAGTCCAAACATTTTTCGCCGGGGTAGTTAAGATACAGTGATGATTGCTGATGACATCTAGCCACACTGTAAGAACACACCGTGGGATGCCCTAAATCTTTTAATAGACATCCGATAAATTAAACGGAAAGCACCTACCTGTGTGATGACTAAGATAATAACAAATCACGTCATATTACAGGTAAACTGACTGATACACAACTTGTCATAAGCGCGAATTTTAAAAATAATTTGAATCTTGTTTCAGATATATTGAAAAATGATAATGTTAAAAACACATCTAAACAACAAAGGTAATGTAAAAGTTTTCACTTGTAAATATGTGGATCGATGTTCTTAAATATTACTTTTAAATTGCATAACAAATAGAACTGACAAGTAGCTTGATAAATATTCTAGAATAGTTCACATATTATCATATTAGGATCGCTGCCCATTTTGGGAAGCACATTTAGAAAAAGATTTCCCGGATAGATAAAAACACTTAAAGAGGAATTAATATAAGTTTGGACAAGCCAATCCAACAACCATCTGGTCAAATGTTTAAGAAAAAATATTTTATTTACTATTAAGAAGTCCCAAAGCAAGGAATTGTTTACATGTTTTCTTAGCTATCTTTATTCATATTTCTTGCCTAAAGTAATATTGAAGTAAGCTCTGAAATAATTCTCATATGTATGTGTCATATCGTCACAGGTATGAACCAGGCGCTCATAATAAACTATATACAATTATGGCTGTAGAAAATGTAATTATCCAAACTTTTCAACACAAAAAGGTTTATTTCTTGAGGTCGCAGCCCGAAGTGAAATAAACTTTTAAGAGTTGACAATTTGAGACATTCACCTTTTCTAAAGGGTCGTAATTTTAATAAAACATATTTTCGATAATTAAAGCAAAATATGGTACAATTCTGTCGTGTGCAGCTAACACCGGACCTGCCGTTACCGCATGTGCTTCGGGCCTAATCGGAGAAATCAAGTGTTTAAGCAGATACAAGTTTATCGGCTGTTGCATAAGTCATTACTTTACGCTTACTCGCTGAGAATTCTTCTCGAAATTATCAACGCGTCTATACGTAATTCACTTGTGGATGTCATAGATGAATTACCTTTTATTTGACAATCTTCTACAGTGGAATTTATGTCCTTTATTTCATCACTTCACTGAAACATCATACTTTCCGAACTACGAATTCCAATTGAGTGGGGTTTTGTTACAATTTTCCAGAACCATTTATTTACTGAATCTAGTTTCGCATTTTGAAATAACTGTTGCATTGCTATCAATAGTAACCCTGAGTTCTTTTTTTTTCCTGTCAGCTGAGCGGACTAGTTTCAGTGGTATTTAAGTTCTCGCCTGCTAAATCTACTTGAGTAAGTAACACACTTTTAACTCCCACAAGCAAAACTATCATTTAGTTGATCGATTGCAGTTCTAACTAATTCAGTTGATTTTGAATATTATTCATGCTTTCCTTTTACTTGAAATCATTATAAGTTTAACTTTTGCTTTTGTTAGTGTCGATTTTCCACAGTAAAGCAGACTTATGATTCTAGTTGGCAATCTTTAACTCACTAATTGAGCTCTCGACATGTATCAGAGCGTCTCGAAGGAAACTTTAGACAAAGAGCTGCGGGTTGATGTGACAAAGTCATCCACATAAGAATTGTTCCTCATAAATGGTTTAATACTTAGAGCTTCTTTTAAATCATCGCAAAATTCGCTTTTTAGTTGAAAGACGGAGAGTATTTAGCAATTGCGACCCATTCTATTTACTACTGGATCTCAATTTTTCAATTTTAGTTGCGTTCGTTATTTTAAGTTGCGGATGCAAACGGAAAGTCCGATCTTTGCTTTGCTTTGATAAAATATTGCAATCGTAGTTGTTCTAGAGCAATTACGTCATTGTTGAAAAAGTAAATCAATCAAGTAACAAAGGGTCTTTGAGCATGCAATGTCTTATTCATTATTTACACTTTTGTCACAATTCATTTTGAATTAACAGTTTAACTGGTGGCTTAAAACAGTTCACTTCTACTAATTATTAACTAAATGAAGAATTTTGTGTTGTCGATATACAAATTCCAAAGTTCTATTTATTATCACAGTATGTGAGTGAAAATATTTTTGTTTGCACAAAATTTTCTTTCTCACCAGATATATTGACGAAATTCCTGGCGGAATGCTTCAAAATCACAAGAAAATTGTCCCTGCATAATATCACACAAACAACCTCATTGGAGACAACCCACAATTCCAATGAATAAAAGATAACTTGATAAAGATTCAAGAATATTTCACATATAACTATTTTTAGAACCGCTGCACCGTTTTGGGAAATACACTTAAAACAAATCCCGCATAGATAATACACTTTAAGATAATAAAAATAATTTTTGACAAGCCAATCCAACAACTTTCTGCTCATATATTTGAGAGAAAGAATCTATTAGGATAAGAAGTCCTAAAAGCAAAGAATATCTAACTTATCTAGATACATATTTCTTGCCTATATTAATATTAAGGTTCATGACCCATCTGTAGGCCTCTGTATCGCGAAATTTCCAAAGTGTTACAATATCAAAACAGCAAAAATACAGTATAAACGTGGCGTGCTATTTTGTACATATAACAAAAGAAAACGTTGTTCAACGCAAGACTGTTATTGTTTCATTGCAATTAATAGAAAATAAGGATTTTGAGGCAAATATCAAGCCAAGATTTTTGTAGAAAATCCAGACTTTATTACAGAGATTTTCGTTTTTAAATTTATACATAGATTACTCACTTGTTTGTCCATGATGTGCTAGCGTTTATTGTTTACAAAAAGTCATGAACAACCTTAATCCAAAAATACTCGTGCTGAGTCACTAAAGTCGAGCGCACTCTAGAGGTTGTACTTGAATAAGTCCATATATTTATACTTGTTTTACCCAATATCTTTATCAATATACTTGTAATAGGAAAATCACTATTAGCACTGCATGCAATAATCCTATATCCATTAAGAACCAGATTGTCAAATAGAGAAGTACAAGGGGAAAGGCTGCGGATTATTTTTTTTATAAAATGTCCATATGTTTAGCATTGAAACAACAAAGGGTACATACACTTAAAGCAAGGTCTAAAAAAAATTTCATATATATGTGTCATATCGTCACATATATGCATAAGGCGCTCATGATAAACTATATACAATATGGTCCGTAGAAAAGGTATTTATCTAAAATTGTCAACCCATAAAGGTTATTTCCCTGAATTATATATTACCATACTTGAAAAAAAATCATTTTATTACAAAACAGTGAGTCAGATGTTTTCAAAACTATAAAACATTCTAGTATCATGAACCTTGTTGTGTCTAAAGGACAACGTTTGCATATTGTATTTGTAGGGGTGCATATATGTTGGGTGCTAACCAAAAGGGGTAGTTATACTGCATGCTTAGCAAATATCTATTTTAAGTCTTTGGTTTCATCCGACCAGTGATCGAACTCATAGCCTTCCGCACTCTCGATTCGATCACCATCGAACCAATTCTAATTTTGGCTGAGATATCAAAATAATGATAATTGCGAAAACCACCTCACAAACATATCATATGGAAAACGTTATGACCACAACTTATTGTTATTTATTTATATACTTATTGTATATAATAATAAGGAGATGTGGTATGATTGCCAATGAGACAACTATCCACCAACGTTCAAATGAAGTGGATGTAAGCAATTTGGTAGGCAACCGTATGTATGTTATACATGCAACAATTGAATTTCAAAAGTATGTAATTCCAATTTAGGTAAATTTCTAGAAAGATTTATGGTCCACTAATCACACGGCATTTATGAGCAAGAACAAAGACTGGTTGATATGGGGTATAGGAGATTCGTGTAAACGTTCTGACACATTGTTCCTCTGTTTCATGATAGTCCACAACTTACAATTTTCATTTTCTTCTTAGCCTTTTGAAGCTTAATGCAACATTATACCCGTGCTTATAAATTCTAAAGGTCGTCTTAAAAGTTTCAAAATTACAACAACAAAAATAAGCAGTATAAATTGGCAGCTGCTCCCCAGACCAATACTAAATGCAATTGAAAACAAACTAATTTTTTTCACCTCACTTCATAAACTGATTTTTTTTCTCAAGAAAAATAGAATCAAACTATTCATGTATTTATTAAAAAAAAATGGTACTCAATATCAAATTGTCCTTCACAGGGTACTGTTTCCATTTTCACATCGTATTGGAAATCCTAAAAAATATATAACAAATAATCATAGCTTAAAAAATCTCCCAAAAAAATAATTACAAAACAATGTTGTATATGTAGGTTATACGAACTATACTATTCTTTTTTTACTTATTTGTGTTACAAGAACTATTGTAAAGGGCGGGTTGTCAAATATGAAAGCACAAAAGTGCAAGATTATAGCGAGTCAATGTGTAGATTAGTGTGTTTAAATGCAGGGTTTCAAATTTTTCGTTGGTTCATTTCGAAAACATTTATGAGTTTTGTTTTTACCTTTGACATCCATCGACCTTAACGTATTATCTAGGACATTCTTTGCAACTTCAATCTGGTCATGGAGATCTTCTACTGTCAGTATGATTTTCCCAGGTAAACATAACAAATATATGTATATACATATATATGTTAAATTAAGACATTTAATAATATGGAACTAAGATTCTAACTCCCTCAGGCAAAGTTGACTTTAGATGAATTTGGCTATAGTTTTTATGTCTCTTTTGATCATATAGCTCCTAACGTTTCAACAAATTTGTACATCTGTGGGTTTCAAATATTTGGGTTGAACCGTTCCTGATGAAAGTTAATTCATACTAGACAAAGTGCTGCCCCCGCACTCCACTCTGAAGTAACTGTATTATAACAAAGTCAATGTAGGACTTTCTTTGAGATATTATTGTGTCTGGGGACACAATTGATGCCCCCGCAGATGCAAAGTGTTATTTTAAAATACACATAGTTTAGCATTAGAGCACATAGGTCTATGGTTCACTGTAGGAGGAGTTATCCGGAAACGCTGTGCACTTCTTATGCAAGTATATACTCCAAAAATGACAAAGTTCAACTATCTCCCAAAAGAGCAAATATCAATAAAAATCAAAAACCTGACCAAAAGCATACCTTCAATATATGTACAAACAGCCAGCAAAGTGAAAACTTCCTAGCATTCAAAATGTAGGAAGAGTTATCTGGAATAACTATATACTAGTACCCATAATGGGACGGACGGACGGACGGACAGACGGACAGACGGACGGACAATTGAGGGGCATAAAAGGCGCTTCAGACGGACGAAATTTATTGAGAGTTGTTTTCATTTATTAACAATGTTCACTGGTTTACCTACAACAAAATATGTCTTTCTTTATGTTGAAATTCACTGTGTCATTCTCAACCTATCAAAATAGCTTATCGGGGAAATCGGAAAAAGGCTGACGAGCATGGTGATGCATTAAAGTTTAACCATAGCACATCTTTATGTGTTTGTCCCAGTTAGGAAACTCGCCAGAGATAGTCTGCATGATATCTTTTAAAATGATTTATTATTTAGGGAATTTGGTATAGATGACAGAACTTTGATAGTCTCTGTGAAATTCATTCACCTTTTTCGGATTCGGGGAAATCTAGAGCTGGACATATTGTATTATACATATCTGTTTATTGTTGGCAACCGTATAAAGTAAAATAACAAAAATATCGAACTCCAATGAAAATTCAAAACGGAAAGTCCTTTATTAAATGGCAAAAGCTAAAGCACAAACACATCAAACGAATGGCAACCGTATGTAACACTCTGGATGTCTATCCTTTTATACCAACAACAACACTACACAGAAAATCAAAGATCGACGCATATTCCATATTTCGTGTTATTCACATGCAATATCGAATATGATTATAATAGAATATATTTCATATCACTTCTACATGCAAATTACTGCGTAAAACAAATACTGACCCGTGTCCAGTGTCCTCAATCCTTTTAATTTCTGCTGAATCTGGATGTTCACATCTATAGCTGATGGTTCAATTGTCTCAGTTTTCTTATATTATGCATCATTGTTTCTTTCCAGGAATTAATTTCAGACAGAAGTGTAATCTCATTCTGTGACTATGCATCGAGTTTGGTGTAAATGTCCTGAAGACTAGTCACGATGGCAGGGATACGGACATTCCAGTTTGTACCTAGTCTGAACATGAGAGCTGCAATAATCATTTTAAAAAAAGCAAAAACACAACAAAATAAAAAAAAATAATAAAAACTACCTATAAAAGAAGACCAAATGATATAGATTGAATGAATACTTCAGATGTAACTTAGCAATATTAAGGCCAAATATCTTCAACAGAAGAATAAGAGGGAATTGAATTTGTCAAAGACGACATAAACTCGCTGAATTAGTTTAACTTCGGTTAATCATTGCGCGACAAGTGACCCAACTAGAAGAATTTGTACTCACTGAATAACTTTAACTTTGCAAATGATATGTCGTTTAGTGTTGGAATCAGCGAAGTAATGTCCCTTGCACTAAAGTATGAGTTTTAAAATTAAAAAATCATCTTAAAAAATATGTATGTTACTTGTAATAATTAAAAAATTAGTTGCAGACTGAAATTATTATTGGTAACAAGCTAAACTCTCGTTAAATCTTGATTTAGTGGAAAATATTTTCCAAAACAACTAACGTCATGTGTCTGTTTTGTATGTTGTACCGGATAACTTACCATTAATTTCTTCGGTAGACCAGAGACATATAATACATTGTATTATATGTCTCTGGGTAGACATATCAATTTGCCATTGTTCATGTTCAATAACTTTTTGTAAAAATATCACTTCTGCAAATAAACCAAATTAAAACGTGTAACAAAAATAAACTAGAGGCTCTAAAAAGCCTGTGTCGCTCACCTTGGTCTGTGCATGGAAGTAATATTTCAATATTAATATTACTTCCATGGTCTGTGTGCATATTCAACAAAGGACACTCTCCAACATTGTAGACAAGAACAGAATTCATGACAAAAATCTGTTTTGTTGATCTTGTATTGCTGATCATTTAGTCTGTTTAGTTTCTCTATATCTTTTTTTAGTTTTTGCTCAAAACACAAAAGAGGGTAAAAAAATCCTCATTTAAGGGCACTCACTCCTATAAAGAGTGACAGTCTACTAACTATATCGGTAAAATTTGACTTGTAAGTAGATCTTGCCTTCTTGATAAGTTTTGTGATTTAAAGTGTCTATTTATCTATTATAATTTTTATCATATAAGGCAAAACGCAAAAAAAAATGGCAAAAATCGTCATTAAAGGGCAATTACTCCAATAAGGAGTTATCGGATGATTTCCTCCATATGTCTATTTATTATAATATTAAAGATACAAGGCTAAAAAAGCAACAAATTGGTAAAAATCGTCATCAAAGGGCAATGACTCTAATAAGGAATCGACTGACGATTTCGACCATGTGACTTATTTGTAGAACTTGTCTTGCTGATCATTTTTGCAATTAAAAGTTTCTCTCTATCAATTATAATTTTCCAAATAGGCAAACATGAAAAAAATGGTAAAATTTGTCATTTATGGGCAATAACTTCTATAAAAAGTTGTCTGGCAGTTTTGACGTATATGGACACCTGGTAGATTTCAACATTCTGTACATTTTTGCCCTGTCAGATTTTCTCTATTATAACGGTTTTCATTATAATGGACAAAACTTGAATTCCACCCCTATGTTCTATTTTTAGCCTTGTCGGCCATCTTGGTTGGCAAGCGGGGTCATCTGATTTTTTTAAATAGATACCCCAAGACGACGACTGACGACGGACGCAAAGTGATGAGAAAAGCTCGCTTGGCCATTGGGCAAGGTGAGCTAAAAAGGCACAGCATCATAATTATTGTCTTATGGCAATCATTGTCGTTTAGTAAAGATTGAGTTTAAAATTCAACTTGAAAAATATGTATGTTACTTGTTCGAAATGTCATTACTTTAATATAACCAAAAATTACCTTTCATTTCCTCTGAAGATTCGACAATTTGCAACATCCCATGTTGCGTTAGTTTTTGATATATTTCTGTTAATAGAAAAGATAGGTGATTTAGTATAACAACACATGTTTTTTTTCAAATTAAGGCATTATTTATGCAGATGATGAAATGCATGAGGATATTCTGAATAGTTAATAAGAGCAGAGGACGAAGAGAAGGAGAGAAGAACAAATAACAGTTTTAAAGAAATACATATCACATTGATGGTGGATACTTTTCATGTTTCTTGTTTTAATCACAAGTCCTTCTGAAGCAATCTAATTAAAATATAGAACTCGGATTTAGTTATACTGCATACGTATACATCTCACACTCACCTTTGAGTAAATTTGAGTTGATCAGGTTTTCATGCAGAAGATTGCAGAAAAACAATGAAGAAGAGAATCATCTGCATTTTGTAAGGGTTCAGCCACTGGAAAAAGAAAAAACAAAATAGAAAAATATCCATAAGGCAACCGTACACAATATGTTTAAAATAGAAAAGTGTAAGTAAAACAATGAAAAGGGTCGATACAAAGTACGTACATAAAATATAAGACTCATGATTACACAAACAACAAAAAAGTCATCAAAAACGAATGAACGCTTCATCGATGATGTTTTGCTGCCTCCTGTTTATTGACTGTACATTTTAAGCTGGTTCGATATGCTCGTGTTTAAAGTATTTTAAATGAATTTAATATTTGCATTAATGTAAAAAAAATTAGCAACGGTGCATGTTGAAGATATCATAAAATGATCAAAACGTTTGTTTTAAAGATTTGAAACACGAAGTACAGGTTAATATAATCACAAGTAAGAGACGTTATTTTTTTTTATATGTATATAATTATACAATGTGTGTAATTTTGCCAAAAGAAAACTACCCCGAAGTACAGTCGCCTATATTACAGTTAAGTTCGGCACTAATTTTATATTAGTAGGCATGACAGCTGTTAGTGAATGGAGAATATTCTTTGATGCTATACCAAGGGTTAACATTTTCATGTGTTTTGTTATACCGGTAGGATAAAAATAAAGGCTTTTTCTTTGGTGTATTTATTGTAAGTTTTTCTGTCTATCTTTTGTTATTCCACATGCAGGTAGAAATAAAGAAGCAAAGATTTGAGTGCCATATAGACTACTTTAACCTCACCACTTGCCTATGTGCTCTTGCTAAATCATGTATATCTGTATCTTCTTTTACTAAATAAAAGAAGATACAGATATACATGATTAACTTTTATTCATACTTACATTTTCTAACATGTCCATAGACGTTTTCAGGAACTGTTGCAGGAAAATCTTGTGACATTGTATCTCCTTTATCAAAACTTCCATTCGGCCAGTACTGTTTATTTGTGATGGAGGGAAACTATTCACAAAACCACTAAAAATACACGAAAGTAGTTAATTAGCGGGAGACATATTTTTGTTTTTAGCACACCTCTCCTCTGCACATATTTTGAATGATACCCTCACGTGCAGACCAATCAAAAATCGATAATTTAAAGGACAACGAATTGAATTTACATCGATAAATATTAAGCCAATGCTCTCAAGTTCTAAGTTTTTGCCTCAGAAATTTTTCATAGACTGTCAAAATAAAACAATACATCTTGCTTCACTTTTGTCGTTTTTCTAATAAATGTAACGTTGTTATGTACATGATGTCATAGTAAAGTATTTTCAATTTAAAATTTATAGACAATACATATGTATATATGACTAGTGACAGAACATTCAGTTTAATAAATTAAATAACACATAGCTGAGAGGGTGATAGAGCAGATTGTTACCCCTTGCAAAAACATTGTCTTTTGGCTTCGCCTCAGTTGACAATGTTTTTCGGGGTAACAATCTGCTCTATCACGTATAGTTATTACTATACTATATATAAAAATATTAATTTTCGCGAACCATTTAGGTCACAGAAATTCTAAAATATGGCATCAGTAAGGAGAGTTGTACAAATAATGTCAATACACAGAACCCCGATCCAATTTATCTTTTGCTAAAAGTATTCATCATTTTCTGTTTTATATGTACTAACAGCATTCCATTTTTCTATAATTTCGATTAAAATATTCTAAAACCTGCACTTAAAATAGGTCACATGCCCCAAATAAAAATTCCCCGATTGGTTGAACTACTGTGGCCTCGATGTAAAGCAACGCAAGCCTCGATGGAAAGAACACGCTTCCCAAGAGTAAAGGAGGGTTGTACAAATAATATGAATACACAGAACCCCGATCCAACTCATCTTTTGCTAAAAGTGTTTATCATTTTCTGTTTTGTATCTACTAACAACATTTCATTTTTCTATAATTCCGTTTTAATTATGCCAAAACCTGCAGTAAAAATAGAGGTTTGTCCCAACTTAACATTCCCCGATTGGTTGAACAGCTGTGGCCTCGATGTAAAGCAACGCAAGCCTCGATGCAAAGCACAAACTAAATTTTCTGTTGATACACAAAAAAATTCCGTTAATATGTTGAACTTCGACCCCGGGATTCAATCGATTCACAAACAGAGATGTTCTAGCGCTCAAATGTAATTCTAAGTGAAGTATACTGGTAAAGTAAAATTCTAATCTTTTGCCATTTGATTGGGGACTTTCCTTTTTGAATTTTCCTCGGAGTTCAGTATTTTTGTGATTTTACTTTTTACAGTAATATATACACATTTTATCATTAATATATTGTCATGCTTCTGCATATTAACTTTCATTTACGCTGAGCTATAAGTTAATTCTATACAAATTTTGTTACGTCAAGCAATAGGAGTAAGAATATTTCGCGCCAAAAAAAGAAAATAACCTGCAACATTAAACTATTTTATCATCATGTTTTTGACATTTCCATTAGAAAATAGCCTTTGGTATCAGCAATGGTGGTAAGTATTACTTATTATTGTTAAGGTTCTCCAGATCTAGTTCTCTTGATCTTCTTGACGGTCAATTTAATCCCATTTATCAATTATCCCCGATGACACTTTTTTTGACAGAAATGTCAACCCAGTCGATTTGTGTCATGGGTGAAAATCTGATCTATTTGATGAAATAATTTCTTCATTAACTGTACTTACAATATTTTTGTTAACCGTATATAAACCCTTTGCATGTCTGCAAGGTAAATGGGTTATGTATGTGTTAATTGTGTAATGATATGTACAGTAATTGTATAGATTTTGTCGTCAGTGCAGTGCGTGATCACGTGATATTATTATTTGTAAACAAACGGACTCCCGATGTAACACGTGTCGGAATTATCCGTACAAGGTTCAAACAATCTTATTTTTTCACTATTTTATGATATTTCTATGAGTTTTAGTAAGTGTTACAGATCAGAAGTCATAGATCCATATAGGCTCCCGATGTAACACGTGTCGGAATTATCCATACAAGGTGCAATCAATCTTATATAATTTCACTATTTGATGATATTTCTGTGTGTGTTAGTAGGTGTTTCAGATCAGAAGTCATAGATTCTTAGTACCATACTAGTGTTCCAGGGTTGCGTTCTTTATCCAGAGGCGGATTTAGGGGGGGGGGGGGGGGGGGGGGGGGGGACAGGGGTTGATTATAAAGGGAATCACTCTGAAGCATGACCAGAGCAGGCCGCCACTTATGAAAATTTCTGGATCCGCCACTGATATCTTAGCTGCTTCATAGGGCTACGAAGATTTTTGACTACTGAACATGCAGCTAGCCTAGCTGCTAAATAGATAAAGTCAAGATAGCAGCTTATAGGCTAGCTACATGTTTAGTAGTGAAAAATCTATGTAGCAGCAGTGCTACTATATTGAACGCAACCCTGTTCAGTAGTTAAATACATGTACACGTAGTTGTGAAATTTTTTTATATGAAACTTCTTTGCCTTTGAAAACAGAGAATATAATCTTTTTGTTTTCAGAAATTCCATTGATGAATCTTGACAGCATGGAATAATCTATCACGAGATATTATTATTTGTAAACAAATGTTGAAACAAACACGTGTCGGAAATTTCGATATCATTCTAAATTTTGGATTATTTTTACAGATTTCGCAAAATATACTACATTTCACCTATTTGTCTAACCAAATTTTTGTCTTGAACTAATATGCCCATGAAACTTATTCAATAGACAATTCATTATCATCATCCATATATATACATGTATGTAAAATAGCTATACTATAGTCTGCACAAAGCAACACATTGAAAATATAATTTCAACAAACATGTTCAATACTTGAAAAAAAATACATGCAGTGAAATTTTTTAGTTAAAATACATACATGTATATATGGTTGCATATAATTTCTGTAATGCTTTTTCCCTTCATATTAGTATTACAAAATGTACTAGTCGGAGATTACTGTTACTTCCCAGGCCATGGCCCCAGCTTGTCTGGCAAAACAGCGAATGTACATGTATGACAGTATGTATACTATAAACTACATGTATTTTTAAAATGCACATGGTGGGGTCTAAAGTAAGGAGTATTATGTTTGTAACACTCAGAAACGAGATGTTGATCCCCCAAACCTGTCCTTTTTATAATTATGAATACTAAAACGCTCCATATGAAGCCAAAATGTCTTACTTTTTAGTTTTATGAATGCTTAGTCATGTCCACTGTTTTAAATAGTCATTTGTAAATTCAATAACAAATTGACTTATTTTTTGGCAGTCACCATTACACATTAACACTGACAGCTGCAATTGTAGGTGAGGAACCCTTTCCTTATATATATATATAGGTAGACCTCTTTAGAGTTAACGTTATGTTTGTTGAAAAATTTACAGGCCTTTATGACGTCATTTACTGGATAGAGGGGACCGCCTGTATCACTGCACTATTAAAGATCATCTAGTGTCTTTGTGATCGTCAAGATAAGCTAGAAATAATGTTTGTTCTTAAGGTTCTTAATAACATTTCTCTAATGACAGAAGTACTGATTATCAATTATAAGAATTTAATTCACCAAAATGATTCGTGTTATAAAGCTTTTTTATGCCCCTGCCGTAGCGGAGGGGGCATTAAGTTTTACCCTTGTCCGTCTGTCTATACGTACGTACGTCCCAAAAATTGGTTTATGTTCTCTAACTTTAGTTTGCCTCAACCAAATGTTATCAAACTTATACACAATGCTTATTACCACAAAACTCAGATCAAGTTTGATTTTTGGTGGCGTCACTTTTACCGTTCTAGAGTTATGCCCCTTTACAAATGGAAAAGTTGCTGAATTTTTTGTTTCCGTTCTCTTACTTTAGTTTAGCTCAACCAAATGTTATCAAACTTATACACAATGCTTATTACCACAAAACACAGACCAAGTTTTAATTTTGATGGCGTCACTTACAACTGATCTAGAGTTCTGCCCCTTTATGAATGGAAAAATTACAAAATTTTTAGGTTCCATTCTCTGACTTGAGTTTGCATCAT